ATGCACCACTATCTCTCTGGTCTGGCTTTGCAGAAAGGCAGGATTTCAATTACCTCAGCAGCAACTGCTTTGAAATCACGGTGGAGCTTAGCTGTGAAAAATTCCCACCTGAAGAAACTCTGAAGGGCTACTGGGAGGACAACAAGAACTCCCTTATCAATTACATTGAGCAGGTAACAAAAAAAAGGATGGCAAAACTCTAGTTGTTGTACATAAAACTTCTAAACTTTGTGCTGTGTGAACATCTAATTCAAAATTTCATATTAATCCAATTGGTGCTCCAAAATTCTTGTATGTCTCTAAGGTGGTAAATCCTGTGTGATCTTTCTAAATATGTAGAAGTTGAGTGGAAAAGAAAGATGATGTTGTAGTATGGAATTCATCTCACCTTAAGCTGCCAGGCGTTTAATTTAAATGATTTGTGTCTGCTTCCTCAATGAAAAGAAATACACATCACCAGAGTGTACAATTCATTCCCGCAGCACTGATGTGTATACTAAGAGAGATGGATTGCCCTCTACAGACAGCAAGGTGTGCCTACAGACGTGGGATGAATCCCTGGATGTGCAGGGAGCCTAGATGGCTGGATTAGACTGGAACTGCCTGGCAGCTCTGTGTAATGTCGAGGGACATCTCTAATCCTGTTTTTTTAGATACTCCACTGTTCTCTGATTGCATGAGCTGCTGATATTAAATGTAAAGCTGTCAGTGTGATGATTCCATTAAAAATTGTACAAAATCTGGTTAGAAGTGTAAAGCTTAGTCATGGGTTTAGACAGTCTTGTGCTGATGGGTTGTTAGAAGTTAAGACTCCAGAAAAAGATCTGTATGTGTGTGTGTTTGGGTTTTTTTTGTTTTGTTGTTGTTGTTACTATGGGGTTTTTTAGTCATTTCATGCCAATGTAACAGGCTGCACTGAAATGACGGTTCCAAGCAGTGTGGGAGTTTCGACTTTCTGAAACCTGGATATTGTAGTTAAAGATCACAAATATATCTGATTTCATTAACATCTGCACACCTGGGCTTGCAAAATCAGAAAGACACTGTCGTGGTTTAGCCCCAGCCAGCCGCTAAGCACCACGCAGCCGCTCACTCACTCCCGCTACCCCAATGGGATGGGGGAGAGAATCAGAAGAGTAAGAGTGAGAAAGTTAGTTAGCAGTGCTGGCCGAGTTAACACATTCATTTCTCTAAGAATTTATTTGTGGAGAAATGCTTTAGTTAGCGAGAAAGCTGAAATATTTGAATATTAGAAATGTCTGTTATACAGTTCTGTTAGTAAGGTGTGTGTGGGCTGAGGAAAAACTCTATCTGCACTGCAGGTTTTTACCCATTTATGATGGGATCCATCTCAAATTGTTCAGCTCCTTTGCACATGGGTTAATTTTCTCTGACTCGTGGAAAACTATGGTGTCACTGCATTTGCAAATTACTGATGTGTAAGAGATTATTTTGCCAACTTCCCCTGCTCCTGTGGAGCTGCTGGCTTTATGCTTGAAGTTCAGACGGTCTATCTGGCATTGGTTTTTATCCTCTTACAGGATAAGAGGTCCAGCTCTGTGCTCCAGCTTCCCCATGATTGCTGAGGACAGTGCAAATATGTACTTTCTGCTTTTCTAAACCAATCTGTTGTCAGGTTTCTCCCACAGTGTAAATTAGAGGAATCTGGTGATCTAAATTATAGCAGCTGTATACACTATATAGGTTCGTAAAGGAGAGCATCAAAGTCTCAAAATAGAATTTGTGATCCACAAGTCTTTTCAAATATCACAGAATCAGAGAGAAGCCTGAATTCCACAGCATTTCCCCGCTTAATTTCCAGGCTCCCAGTGAGATGCATCTCTGCACAGGGTCAAAACGTCCCATTCTCCCCAGTGCTGAGAGTTTCCTATCTCAAGCTGTGAAAAGGTAGTTGGTCCTCAGTCTCTTGCCTCTGAGGAGCTCAGTCTGCTTTCAGACCATGCTTAAGAAATGCCAGCCGGACTGGTCTCTCCATATGCTGCAGTCAGATCAGTGCTTTAATTTCGTATATGCGGGGAACAGACAGATTAGGTTCTGCTGGTGCTGTTGCCTGGAGTACATTGCCTAAGAGGCAGGAAGGAAGTAGGACATGACCCACCCCAGGCCATGTGGGGAGTGTTGTGACTCTGTGTGGTCCTAGCTCAAAGACCTGGATGTTTTGGGCACACAATAGAGACCTTAAGCATCTCACACAGGGATTGCCCATCAAAGTCCAAGTGCCCACATTTAACCTTGTTAATGTTTCACTTTTAAGCAGTTATGTCCATTATTAGCCCTAAATTCTTACAGCTGATGAAACTAAAAAAAAAATTAAAAAAAGCTTTTTCAGTCTGTCTGTCAAAGCTTTTCAGCACATTCATTAATCCCCAGTGACAAAGACTTTCAAGTTAGTGTTCAGATATATTATGATTTGCTGCATATTTCTGAGAATTGGTATAACTACCAGCTGAATTATTTTTCCTCTTCACTGTTTGTTCCATTATGGTGTTTAGTAATTCTCCTTGATAGTTGTCATCAAGTAGACTGTGGGATCCATAACACGCATCGTTAGAGCTGTCAACTGATATTTCACTGATGAAAATGCTATCTTTTCTTAAGAATTTTCCAGTGATTTCCCATGTGTTGCTGACTTTATTTATTTATTTTAGATTCATCGAGGGGTGAAGGGGTTTGTTAAAGATCTTCAGGGCAATCCAATAGCGAATGCTACAATTTCCGTGGAGGGGATAAGCCATGACATTACATCAGGTGAGTGCTGTACCTCAGGAAAACAAGAAGTGCTAGAATATACTGTCACTCCCTCTGCGTGGCAACCTGGATCCATTTCAGGTCTTATTAGCTCAAGCTTAAAGGGAGCAAAATTTTGAAGCCAGGAACATGTTGTGCATCAAGAAGCTTGTTGTGTGCAGGTTTTCATGAATCTTTCTCTTGTATTTTGCTCTCAAAGTAGCAGGAGATTGGTTGTTGGGACTTCATGGATCTATGGCACAAATTGGTTCTGGCAGCTCTTGGTTATTCATGCTCAGTTTGTCTTCTGATTTGTGGTGCAAGTAGTGTTTCACAACTCCACCAGGATTTAAAGTACTGTCAGCAGTGCTATTTTGAGTTTGAAGGCTAAATTTTAGTCCAAAACAGTTACTTTACTTATGATGTAATCATACCTTTTGGTATGTAAATTCTTGACAGATTTTCAGTTTATGTTAACTTCCTCCTGTAAAGAGAAATACTCTGCTGTTTACAATTATGTGACCTTTTTTTTAGAAGGGCAGTTCTAAAAGAGGGAAGTATCATGTTGGTGTTTATAGAAAATGGTGTGTCACCTCTTTAGTGGTGGTGTGCTTTATTCTAGGAATGAATTCACAGGTAGCTCGCGCAATGCCAACTTGCAGTCTTCCTTGTAGAACTATGGTTTCTTATTCTGAATGGCATTTTTTTGTTGTTTGTACAAGATATTAATTAGAAAAACAATAATAAAATGCCAATGCTTTATATATCAGCTAACAGTATGGTAATTTTCTCAATGATATGTCTCACTATACTGTTATGGAGATGCAGAATGCTATGAAACAGGACTGATGGACCCTTCAGTTGGCTTCGATTTGTGTTTGTTCTCACATCACTTGCAAAGAGAGCCACAATTCTGCCAAGCAGGAGAACAGTCTATGATAGCATTAGCCACCTTCTTTCACTGACAAAAAGTATAGAGGCTGGACATAAATTTTCATGAATAATAAAAAGGGGGTAAGCTGTGCAAAGAGATATTTTGAGGTATGAGAGTGATGCATATGATACTACAGCTCACGCTTCTACGATACAAAAAAGCATCTAATCATGAATTCTTTCACATCATTGTGTGTGTATGAGGCTGGAAATCATGTATGGTGAAAACAGTGAGGAAAACAAGTACTTGAATTTTAGCACATTCAAAAAGAAGGATAAATGTTCTTTGACTTTTTTTCCCTGTTCCTTAGTTCATGAGTTAAAATTCAGCTTTGTTCCAGTGCCAGGAATTAGAATAGATCATTATCTGCAGCAGTAATTTTTTTCCTTTCTGTTTTATGAAGAGAAAAGTCTGGGAACAACTGGACAGACTACTGACATTTTTTGACCGTGCGAATTGCAGACATTTAAGTGATATTTCCCTCTGTGCGCTGTGTAACTGCAGATGTGCTGAAAAAGCATTTAAGTAAGAGCGTGGCCAAGTTTTTTAAATGGCACTGCTAACTGACCTTTAGAATAGTCTTGCAATGTTTTCTGAAATTCTGCATGGAGACAGAGAAATTCAGAGTATTAGCCTGTGACAAATTAGATGATTGCCCACTTCTGGTGGAGGGACGATCTGATTCTTTGTGAAAATGGGAGAGGGTCATTTCTAGAGAAGAGGATGATGCATTTTTATTCTGTGACTGAAAAAGATGGTCTGCAGCAACATTCAGTGCAATAGGAGCCTTTCTTTGATCTGAGTGGTTCAAACTTTCATTTCTTTGTTTAGCTAAACGGAAGAAGGAAGCCCTAGGCATTGCCTGGATACTGAAACATGTAGATAATGATACTCCAGGGGTGATACATGTGGAATGTTCCAGGAAATGATCATTTATAGCCTTTGCAGCAAGATAAATTGAGAAAGGTGGTCCTATTTATTTACATTTTATGAGAATAAAATTTATTTAAATTCGGATTTCCAGAATACTGAGGGGCATTAAAAATCCACATTGCGTTACCAGCTGAAACTCAGACACTTAATAGGAGCTGCACATTGGCCAGGAGTGCTTCTAAAGTAGAATAATGTCCTAAATTGTCCTTTTCTTCAGTGTGCTGGAGAGCCTTCAGCCCCAGCAAGCAAAATCTTTCATGGAGGCTTCAACTTCAGAGTTGAAATCTGTTACCTAAAAAGAAGAAAATCTGTAATGATCTATTTATACAGCCCTTACAGAAGAATCCTTTCAGACAGACAAAAGGAAAGGGCTGACAGGAATACAAAAGACACTTACAAGATATACAATCCCTTCTCCTTAGCTGCATAATTAGTTTTATACATATTTATTTGGATATTTTTTTCTTCTCTATAGCCAAGGATGGTGATTACTGGAGATTACTTGTTCCTGGAAATTACAAACTTACAGCCTCAGCACCAGGCTATCTAGCAATAACTAAAAAAGTGGCTGTTCCCTTTAGCCCTGCAGTTGTGGTAAGTCCTCATGTGTACGTTGGTTTATCATCTATTATATATAAACAAAAAAAGTCTCTTACGTTTTTTCCTTCATGGTATACATGTAAGCAGGAGGTGATTTTTTCATAATATTTCAGAATATGCTAATTTAGAAGACAGAATGGAAGTCTAATCTTCTAGTACTTGCTGCACAAGCAACTGAGAGTAATCTCATTGCAAACTCATTTCATCTTCTGTTGGTCTTACTGAAAATGAAAAGTCACAGCGAGGGGTAATATTGAGATACTTATACTTTTTTTAATTGGTTGATGTGTGAATAGCCAATCAGATAGAAGACTACAGAATATCTTTAAATAGTGCAACATAAAAACTAAGAGATGTTGAGTTTTTCATTGAGACTCGGTATTTTTATCTAAATTGTCAAGTGACTACCTGTGTAGGTTAAAACCAGTGTTCAGCTCTGTGCAGAAAGATAGTCACGGAGCTCTTCTTTGTCTAGATACCCAACATGTATAGTGAGTAAGACCTAGGCTGGTCTTACTTACTGACTTACTTACTTACTTACTGAACTCTAAGAGTTCAGAAAGACTTTTAAATCATCCTCTGTACAGGTGTGGATTCCACTCTCAACAATTAAAATAAATGCTTATTTCTCTAGTGTGTATCATATGCTAGGATATACTAAACTAGCACATCATCTCTACACTAATGAGCCATGTGTCAGTAAAGCTCCCTGGATCTTCTTGATGGCATAAAATTGAATACGTGTTTTGATATGCTGGGGGTCTGCACTGCTAGGTGTTAGACAGCGAGACGCTGATGATACTTTTTATTCCATGCTAGAAGATTTATGTGGCTGGCTATTATTCCATTTTAATTTCATTGGCCCATATTTTTTGAAGTATTTAGACAAGTCAAAGTCTGGACAGGTGTCTGGTTTCTTTTGGAAATCTTGCTCACCTATGTGCAGTTTTTAGATAAGTTTACTGTACTGATATGCTTGTATTGCACATATTTAAATCAGCCCTGAGAGACTTTGAAATAAACCTTGCCTAAAATGGAAGGTACATCCCTAAGCCCCATGTCTGTGTTAAACAACTTCTTTCAATAAATGACTCTTAAAAGCCTACACTTCTCTCTCTCTACAAATCTTACTGATGGTTTTGATTGTTTTTCTTACCCAGGTTGATTTTGAACTGGAGTCATTGTCTGAAAGAAAAGAAGAGGAGAAAGAAGAGTTGATGGAATGGTGGAAGATGATGTCAGAAACACTAAATTTTTAAATGAAGATTTTGGCTTTACAGCTTTTAATCTATTATATGTTGACTTAGTATAATGTACTGTGGAAAGTCCCTATATTCTAGATTTTGTGCACTTCACAATAATTAACTTTGAATTTTTCAGTCGTCTTTTGATTAATATGATTATGAATAACTACTAGCCTCCTAGCTAGATAAATAAGTTATTAATTTTCTTTCATATTGTTATAGAAAATTTACTCATATACAAATCAGAAAAAAATGAGTGAATGTCTCTGCAGCCTATATGGAAGTACAATCTGTTGTGTATTATTTGCAAGTTCAGAATATGTAGGTTAACTCTTAATTTTAAAAAAGTAATACGCTGTAGTCAATTCCCAATACTGCCAGAAATATTTGACAGTGCATAGTAATAGACAGTGCTCTTTACTGAGTTCTATAATGGATGTTATTGAAAAGATTTATAATAACAGTGTGTGGTGTAATTATGTTTTACAAGGATTAAAGTTCAGTATAACATTTTGTATGTCTCTGGTGTTGGGGCTATTTAAATATGTAAGAAACATAAGCTGACATCATTTTAGTAAGCAGAAGGAATCTACATAAGCTCGTGTATTAAAGACGGCATGGAATGAATTCAGGAAATAGCAGAGCTTTATTCCTTAAACTGTTAATGGTATTTCAAGATCAGGTTTTAATTATTTCTCATTACTTATTAACAAAATTAAAAATTGTGAATGGGTGAAGACAAAGAGCTTGTGCATCTTGTTAATATGCTGCTTGTGTTGTTTTACAGCAAGAAAAAAAAATTGTTTCAGGTGATGTCCGTTTTAATTAGATAACTACATTTTCAACAATCTTCACATGTGTCAGTGGTGTCTAGATCATCAGCCAGAAGTTCATATGTTCACCGAAAGCTACCAAAACATTATGGTTTAGACAATGAGCTGGAAGTCTACTGAGGACATGCATTTAGTCTCACAAGCCAAGAATGGTTTTGTTTCCAACTTTGTTTCTTCTGCTGGTTAGACTTACCTAAAGCTAGAAGCAAGACAGACATGAAAATTTTATCAGTGTGGTGAAATCTTCCCAAAATACTTGAAGATGATACAAAAAGCAGCTTCGAATTAAAAAGACCCTTCTTCCTCCCATTTTTTTTTAGTATACTTGAATTAACTTGCTTTAGTATTTTGTCTAAGATGAGTGAAATTTGTGGAGTCAGGGAATACATATGAACTGTAGTGGGTGCAAGTTTGGTATAATTCTTCTGAAACCACTGCTGGTATGCTACTTGATAGCAGCTAAGCATCTCATCTGTTTGAAAGCTTACACACTATTGCTGGTCTATTTTCATTCAAGGTCAGATGTTCAATATAGATTTCCTGCCCCTGTTTCTTTAGTATCACTGTCTGTGTTTTGATTAGCATATTATTTTAGTTGGTGCTGTAGGAGTTCAGTACTGTTCAGAACTAACCAACCATGCACTATCAGGCTCCTGCCGTAAGTGAAAAATCACATGTTCAGGAGCAGGATCCAAATTTACCTCCTCTGGATATTTAAAAATCTACTGGTTTTTGAGAATTTGAAATTCTTTAATAAAAATAGCACTTCATCCTTTAAAGTAACAGGCTTAACATTTGACACACATTGATAAATTGAACAGCAATAAGAAGGCATTAACTTTCTCTGATGAAGAATTTGCTGTGTAATCTGTAGCTCATTTGGGTAGTAGAGATTTAATTCCAAACTTCAGGGGAACTTCACTTGCTGTAAGTCGTTAGGCAGTGATGAACTTGGAATCTCTATTGCGATGAGGAAGCCCTGTGGCAAATGAAGAATCCTATCTGAACATGTCTTGAACAACTTGTGGCTAGCTGTGCACAGCAGTGTGCATAAAGCATGCCCAGTTACACCAGCTTGGCTGTTCATGACCATTTGAAAGGCTAGGATACGTAGCACAAAACACACTCTGTGTCTGGAAGTCATGATACTGTTTTGGACTGAACCAGGTAAAATCAAAGCAAACAGTATAAAAATGAGTTAAAACAAGAGACTGCTGGCATGTGGTCAAATGGCTACAGGAGTGTTTCTGACCTGTAAACTAACGTAATAAGGCAAGTGTATATTTGTGCAGAACACCCTGCTCTGCCCCTTCTAAACCTAACAATTTCAATCCAAACAATATTACTACATGATGCGATGCCTGTCATGCATCTGGTCTTCCTGTGTGGTGGATTGTGTGGCATAGTTTGTGCAGACATTACATCAAAGTGATCTCATGACATTTCTAATCCTTAGTTGTATTACATGTGTGAGATCCTCTCGTCTACTGTTTCATGCATTTGCGATTAAATGTAGTGTCCCTTAAATGATCTCTTCATTTCGCTCTAGATGACTGCTTGCTATTACTGTGCTGAGAACAGGTTGAAGTGATTAAATGTTACCACACCAGAACCACTGCCACTGTTCTTTCTGTAGGTAAACATCCTTAAGAACAGCGTAGCCAGGACTCTCAATAAATTAATTCATTATGTAGCTTTCCTAGCTGAACTGAGCTGTGTTGTAGGACTGTGTATGTTTAAATGGAAGATTAAAGTGTTGTGTGATGCTGAGCTTTTGGTTAAAAAGGCACATGCTGTACTATTGTACAATAAATCTACAGGTTTATTTAAAATGTAAAATGTGTGAGTAATTTACAGGTTCAAAATGTGACCTCTTTGGCTGTGCATGTCTGCAAAGTATGCCATAAACATCCTCAGTGAGATGCGTGTGCCGATTAATTTGCGGTTTGAACAGAGAAACGAGACTGGGATTAGTGTTGGTATCCCATTGAAAGCCATCCATAGCCCCTTAATTTTGTGACAGAACATCCTCCTTTTGGAGTATACATCTTTCTGCGCGCTTTTCCCATGCAGGTTTTCAAGTAAAGTCATGGATAAGAATGAGATGCTTTTCATCTATGCAAGGTCGGTGAGGATAGGGCATACATTTTTGCGTGTCTCTCCGTTCCGCAGTATTACAAATCTCTTCTTTTTCCATATCAATACTTAGAATTAGAAAGCACAGTGTGCAGTGTGCTTGCAAACCTGTGGTACTACGCATTGCTTGTAACTACAGTGGTCAGGATTATAATAACACAGTAAATCAAATAAAAGCACTGCATCTGAATTGTGTTTCCCTTTTCCTAGGTTGTGGTGTTCACGTTGATATATGTGAATTCACATATAGTCCTGGCTATTCCTGAGCTCATAATTACATACATTAAAGTGTAAATTAAAACTGAGATAGTATGTAAGAAAGTATTGCTACCAAGTTTCTTTCTCTGAGGTTTTTTAATAGATCTAACAGGTGTGTTAGGAACACTTAATAATGAGCCAGCCCATGAAAGGAAGAGGATTTGGAGGATGACAGGCAGGTTTAGAGGAGTTGAAGTTAAAAGGCACGGTTTCCACAAGCCTGATTCTCTTCCATATCTGAGCTTAGCTTGACTCAGGCCTGCGGAGGCTGTAGCATAGCAGCCGTTTAATGACTGCCTGTCTAAGAGTTAGAGCAGCCATCTAGAGCTTCTCAGTAAGCCTGCTCCTGGAGAGCCTGTTTCCTACTTGTAGTTAGCACTGGAAACGCAGGACCTAGAAACATCACTGCAGCGCTTGCTTTCTGCCTTCCTGAACCTTGCAAACAGCTTGTTCTGATCGTCTCCTTGCAGGTATTTTATCCCCCCTGTACATTTCTGTTTATGTAGAGCTACATCTGTTGTGAATAATTTACTGCTTGTTAATTTGACTTGTAAGTTTGGTCATTGACACAGCCTCTGTTCCAGTATTTCTAACTTCTATAATTAAACCCAGAAACCAAAAACACTCAGGAGATTTTCTGAAAGTCATGGCATAAAAAACTGCAGTGGGTTTGTCTGCCTCCTAGCTTGTGAGGGTTTTGAGTGAGCTTGCTTCAAGGTTCAATTTTTAGAGCCTGCTTTACGGGAGAAGAAAATGGCAACTGAGAAGTTGAGGTAATCCTATGCCTCTAGGGGCTAAAGTTTCGAGCAGTATAGCAAGTATTTGAATAGGCAGTATAAAAATGAGATATTTAGAAACAACAACTGTTTGCTTTTACTAACGGTGATAATGGGAGAATATTAATTGAGTTAAATGGCCTTGCAGTGCTGATCTTTCTTCAGCCCTCCTTATTTTGCCTCTCCATGCCCCAGGCATTGTACTTCAGCAATGACTTAAACACATCCATGATTAGGAATCATTCATCACAGTGCTAGATTTTCCCTGAATTAATGGTTAATGCTTCATGTTATTTTATCTTTGTCCTACTTTCATATTCAGTTAAGGCACCACAGATTTTTGTAATCATGCATCCCTCTGTGCAGAGTGGAAATTGTCAAAAAGAGAAGCTAAAGAGTTTGGCTCCTGCATTGGGAATGTAGAGGGAATTTGACATCTGGGAATGCACTGGAAGCAGTTTAGTATTGTGAAATAAGTAGATTTTGTAGACCTTTTTGCTAATCATTCTTTACTAAAAGGCTGAATAGGATTATGTGCCTGTGGGATTCTAGGAGTGCAGTATGTCTGTGCCTTTAGACTTTAGGTAAAGCTACTCTGGAAACATTCCCGTTAGTTTCACTGAGGTTTTTATCGGACCCTCAGGCCTGGAATCTGAGTAGTCAGGACTATCTGGTGCCAAGGCTGCTCATTTTGCATTAGCAGTAATTGTTCTTCATCTTTTCCAGGAGAAAGATGCAAAATAATAAACAAGAAATGAAGTCCATTTTCACAAAGTGCATAATTGGTCATGGAACTTGTTGAGAGTCATTGCAAGACCTAAAGTAGAAATAATGGAGATTAGCTGGACCAATGGCAACCTACAGCTCACTAAGCCTTTGAATCGCTGCTCAGTGGAAGATAGGAGGGTAAATCAGGGTGACATATCTGTTACATTCACCCACTGAGGATGTGGTCAGGGCAAAATATAGGGCTAGATGAACTTCTCACCTGACTGCAGCATGGCAGCAATAGAGGGGTTCACAGTGTTGCAATACTGTCCAGTAATGTGAGATTCCAGTTCCTGGACTCAGAGGAACATCTGTTCTGCGGTCCGCTGTGGTACGTGTGCTGGTGTCCAAGGGTGCAGAACCAACATCCCTCCTCCACATTCCAGCACCTCTCGCACAAAAGGTAAATTAAACACATTTCAGAAACTATGGCCAAGATTCAAGAAAGGACTTGGCTGCCAAGAGTAGTACAAAATTACAGTCTGACTTCCCTCCCTTCAGCTCACTAAATATCCGCTCACGTGGCTTTCCTTGGCTGCTTCCAGTTCTCGCTGTGGGTGTGTCAAAAACTAGTCCAGCCTGAGCAGCTCAAGGATCACTTGTGCCAAGACCCATCAGGAGTGGATTACAGGGCTTTCTTGTGTCTAAAGATCCTAAGTTTGCACTTGCACTGTGAGGCAGGTTGCCTGGCATGGCCTGGCATCCTAAATCTTCAGGTCTCCAGAACGGGGACGCCACCAGTAGCTTGCTTTTGGCCTGCATGCTTAGATTTCCTCCAGTGGAGGGAGAAGATGGGCCGAGGCCAACTGTATGAGGTTCAGCAAGGCCAAG